GTGTCACCATGCCTGGCTGTATTCAGCGTGACTTTGACTCACAGAGATCCGGATGGATTTCTGCTTCCAGAATGCTAGGATTAAAGGTGTGTGTGCCACCATTTTCTGGCCTCTATGTCTATCTATGGCTGTTCTATTCTCTGACCCCAGATAAGTTTATTAGGGTTCACAATATATTGGGGAACACAATATCACCACAGACGAGCTTTGGGGTCCAGAGATTTTATTCATGTTTAACTGGACCTGAGGTGGCTCAAGGCACTTTGGAAATCGACTTCTTACAGTCCCATGTAAGGGTGGCGGCAGTGGATCCTGTCCAAGGTTCCAGTGGAGAGAGGCCAGAGACACACAGCCAGGACCTCTTGGCTCAGGAGACACGGTTGCTACATAAGCAGAAGCCAAGGCATGGGAACAGGTAGGGACAAGTGGAAGGCTTTCCAATAGAACTTTCTAGACTCTGACAAGTCACAAAGCCACTGCTAGAAGAATGGGTTATATCTCCCCCTCCTCACCCCCCCCCTTTGAACCACCCTCCAATGTAGTAGTCCAAATCCATCAGCGATAACCTTGTCATGTATCACATCATCTCTGAGGTGTGGGAGTCCAGAAGCACTGAGCTGGGTAGTCCCAGGCTGAGCTGCCCTGTGAGGCTATAGAAGGTGACCTTGGAGGTTGCCATCTCATCTGAAAACTCAACAGGGCCAGGAAACCTGCTTCCCAGGCAGCTCATGTTTGGCACATTGGTGTGGCTGTGGGAGGGAGGCCTCTGCCCCAGTCTGATAAGTGTCCTTGGGATATGGTGGTGGCTCCCAGAGACCACAGGCTGAAGTACCGTGACCTCCATGCAGATCTGGAAGATGGACTTGCATTTTGTGTTACTACAGTCTATTGATTACACAGGTCAGTGCTACTCTGGGTGGAGAGCTCTTTGGATAACAGGATTGCCTGCAGGTGGGTCTTGAGGTACCATCTTGGAAGCTGATACAGAAGAGGCCAGAGCAAGGAGACTCAGGAAGGCCACTGAGAGGAGAGGCTTGCCACCAGGACCAGAGCTCTAGGGACTGTGATCTGATGACCCTCCACTGGCTGAGGGAGGAGGATTGAGAGCAGGTCCTTCCAGTTTCTGAAGTTCCTTCCTGGCTCCTGGCCTATCACGGCCCTGGGAGAGTTCCCAGCCAAGGTGCTGGAGCCAAGTAGCATGGCTGCAAAACAGAACTGTGGCAAGGACAGATGAAGACAGGGGACCTGGAAGGCATCGGAAACACATGGCCCTAGGTATGACATCTGTGACTTCTGGCTCACACCTGCCTGCCTACCTAGAAAGGTAGAGGCCTGGGCCTCTCAGAAAACAAAATTACTCAAATGAAAGCCAGGAGCAAGACAGCTTTCTGATAACTAACATCGGTGGCTTGTGGAGGAGGCTGAGGGAGAACCAGATGGAAGCTGCCATCTCTGAGCCTCTATGGGCAGTAACAATGGTCCCCTGTGTATGGCTTAAATCCTCAGGTATTGGTCCTCACCTTCACCTGGTTTGAGAAAGGGCTCCCTGCTCTCTGTCCACAGGCCTCTGGCTCCCATTTTAACATGAACCTGGGATTATAGATGCTCATATCTGGCTTTTCGTGGATGAGAACTCAGGTCCTCAAGCTTACAGAGCAAGCACTGTACCCATTGACTCTGGAGTTCACCAATTCACTAGGCTGGCCAGTCAGTGAGCCCCAGCAACCCACTGGTCTCTGGTCTCCCCAGTGGATTACCTGCTCACACCACCACACCCAGCTTTCTCATGTGGGTTCTGAGACTCAAACTCGGTCCTCATGGTTCAGAGCAAACACTTTACCAACTGAGCCAACTCCCCAGCCCTCAATTCTTTTTAAAATATTTTAAACCAAGGGCTGGAGTTCAGTTCTGAGCACCCACATGGTAGCTTACAACCATTTGTACCTCCAGTTTCAAGGGTTCCAGTTCCTTCTTCTGGTCTATGGGCACCAGACCTTCATTCAGTGCTCTTACATACTACGGGAGTTTGAATGTAATTGGCCCCCATAATCTCATAGGGAGTGGCACTATTAGGAGGTATGGCTTTGGTGGAGTGGTTATGGCCTTTTTGGAGGAAATGTGTCACTGTAGGGGCAGGCTTTGAGGTTTCCTATGCTCAGGATACCACCCAGTGTCTCAGTTGACTTCCTTTTTCCTGCAAGATGTAGCACTCTCAGCTCCAGCACATCTGCCTGCATGCTGCAATGCTCTCTGTCATGACGATAATGAACGGAAACTCTGAAACTGTAAGCCACCACCACAGGTAAATGTTTTCTTTATAAGAGTTGCTGTGGTCATGGTCTCTTCATAGTAATTAAAAACCCCTAGACACATCCATACTAGCAGAACACTCATACACATAAAATATATACATCTAAAAATATTTTTAATTTTAATCTTTTAACTAGCAGATTAACTACGTGGAGTTGTCTTGTTAGTTCTGCTTTAGGCACCACACATTCAATCCAAAAGCCAGGCAAGCATGGGAATACACATCTGTAACCGCAGGACTTGGGGACTGAGGCAAAAGGTTTGCCACAGGTTCTGGGCCAACCTAGGCTACATGGGAGACTTTACCGTTTTAGGAAAAAAAAAAAACCTAAAAAGATAAAAACACTGTATGATTAACAATGGCTCCTGTGCTGTGGAACAGATCTCCAAATAATGGTCCTGTGTGTGAACACTCCATGCACTCTACCCCGGGTCTCCTGGCCTGTCCCTTGTAGTAGGCCTGGAATGAAGACACCTACTTTTAAACCTGGTCTCAGCTACTTGCCAGGCACATTTTACAGGGCAAATTCCTTCAATCCCCTCATTCCATTTGAGTCACCCAATGTTGTCACACAGAGGGTCTGTGGACCCAAGGGCTCTCCAGGAAGGCAGATGTGTTACACTGCTGTGAAGTTGTGTTCTGAGGATTGGTTGGAAAACAAGTTTGGAGGTGTCTTGGCCCTGTTGCTGGAGATCCAGTTTTTATCTCAAGGGACAAAGGACAAATGATCCCTCCAGTCACTCTGATTGTGCCCATGGTTTCCAACACTCTGGGTCTGTCTGGTCTCTGGGTCTGTCTGATGCCTGATGGGGTGTGAGGAGACTGTCAGGGTACCTCTGGCCAGAGCACAGTTCAGCTAGCCCCACCATGGAAGTACCATGAAAAGCCTGGCTTGAGGCTGTACTGAGAACTGTAGCTGGCCAGTGGCAGAATCTGACACAATCTATGGTCCTGGGCTCTGTGGCTTACTGTCTTCACTCCAGAGGGAGTGGGCTTCATCTGCTGGTGGCAGGGTAGGCAGGACAGACAGGCCCACATCAGGCAGAGCTCTGGGAGAGCAGCCCACTGCCTAGCAGTCACTGAGCACTAGAGGTGAGGGCACCTCTAGTGGGTAGCTGTTCCAGCTTTGACCTTGAAGCACTGCCCCTAGTAAGGCAGTAGGTAACTGCCACACAAGCCTATGACCTGCCCCTGGGGCGTGGCCGAGACCAGAGACCTTGAGACCTGAGGTGCATATATGCTGGCTCTCTTGGATCCTTGTGATCCTGGACACTGGATGGCAGACTGAGTCAGAGTTCTCCAGAGAACCATGCTGGATTGCACCTCACCTCTCCCAGATCTTGTAACTCACCCCTATATTGGTTGTAAGTTATCCCAAAATAAACCTCTTTGAACTACCAGATTAACTATGTGGAGTTGCCTGTAGCTAGAGTTTTCCTGCCTTGCCCCACAGTCAGGACAAATCTTTGTCACCCGCCAGTCCCACAGCCGCTCAGACCCAACCAAGTAAACACAGAGACTTATGTTGCTTACAAACTGTATGGCCATGGCAGGCTTCTTGCTAACTGTTCTTATAGCTTAAATTAATCCATTTCTATAAATCTATACCTTGCCACATGGTTCATGGCTTACTGGCATCTTCACATGCTGTTTGTCATTGCGGTGGCTGGCAGTGACTCCCTCTCCCTTCCTGTTCCCTTAATTCTCCTCTCTGTTAGTCCCGCCTATAATTCCTGCCTAGCCACTGGCCAATCGGTGTTTTATTTATTGACCAATCAGAGTTATTTGACATACAGACCATCCCATAGCAGTTGCCTTGTTAGTTCCCTGCTTTAGGCACCACACACCAAAGCCCTAAACCTTAGCTGGGCTCCCAGACTAAAACACACTAGAACCATATAAGCCATTGACAAGCACTACGGACATTTGAATCCAGGCCTCCTACCACAGGAGCTTAAATGTCTTTCTCCAGAAAATACAGGAAGACCGAACTCTGACCTTCAGCACACACAAAGGAGGATGCTGAGGCCACGACACGGTGGATCACCTACTCGAGGTTTTATAGCCTTCAGAAGGCAGAGCCAGAGTTCACAAGTACACAGTGGGACCTGGTATCTAAGTTTACAGCCACCACCTCCCAGCCTCCTTAGGACCTTGCTCAAGGGAGAAATGAAAGTGCCAATGTGTGGCCAATAAAGATGCCTGAAACCCCTGTGTCCACATTCTCGGACCGGCCGGGAGAACACCAAGTTAGGCTGGTGCGATTCAGGACTCCCTCCAGGAGCAGCTGTCAATCTTCAACCAGCTCTAACCGGAAGCAGATCAGCTGTGCCCGGGCTGTGGGCACCACTCACTTCTCATTCACCTCCACTTCTCCAGAAACTAAAGTCCAGACTCAACTGTGTGGCTTCTTCTTTTGTTTGAGGCAGCTAAGCATGCTGGCTTCCTGTCACCGCAAATGGAATGGACTCCTCGCCTCCAGCAAGTAAATGACCCAGCAAAGTCTGGACTGATGGAGGATTAGAGGGTTGAGGCACAGTTCACCCTGATACCCAACAGGATATGAAGCTTTGATAGTGCCCTGTGCACTGCTTCGGATACTTCCTGGGGTTCCATCCTATACCGTATTACACCCCCCATCTCCACCTCTGGAACTGGTCAGGCCCATTCTAGAGACAGCACAATGTGGCACATTTAAAAAGGCAGGTTTAATACAAAGAATCATCAGCAAGGCTAAGAGGATCCTATCTAGTTTTACAGAATACCCTGAGTTTTGGGGGCTAGTGTCGCTAATGAGAATGGGTCCCCTCCTCAACACTGGAACTCCTGTTGTGGAAGGTGTGGCTGAGGCCACTGGCTGGTGATACATTCTGGGTTGTCTAAGTAAATCTGTTTATCCTCGAACCAAGTGTCTTGGGGTAAACAAGAAGCACCTTCCAGAAGAGGGCAGGTGGCTGACCTGCTAGGTGGGTGGGTCCTCAGGGAGTCTTGTTCTGGAAACTGTCTCATGTCACAAATACTGTAGCAGATTAGCCAGGGACTGTGAAGTCCCTTCCACTGTGACTTCCCAGTCCACTGCCTGGCCCTCCTGGGGTAAGAACAAGAAACAAGAACCTAAAGACAGCGCCTTCCTCCTGCAATGGCCTCTGAGCCCTCTGCTGATCAACACTGCACACCTCTTCAGACAAAAATGGCCCAGGGTCCAGTCCACCATGGCAGAACAGGAGGGGAAGGGGGCGGTGTCAAAATCCTTAGATCCCACGTTGTCTCCAGTTTAACAGGATGGCCCAGTCCTGGGAGACACATGGCAAGCCTAAGCCATCCGGGCAACACAGATCAAGGGCTCCCAACATAAAGACAGACATGAAAGGGCCAAGGTCCTCTGCCCTCAGGATGCTCAATCAAGAAAACCACCAGTCTGCGGGAGGGCCAGTCCAGCTGCCACCAGACAGACACTGTTGGGCACTAGGCTCTCCATTTTCCAGATGCGCAAACTGACACCCCTGCAGGAGGAAGCCGGGATGCCAGCCCCCATGCATCCAACTCCACGCATTCGATAAAGCCTCGCTATGCTTCCCAGGATGGTCCTTAGAAGATTCCAGGCAGCAGGCGGTAGGGCACTGCCGCCGTGTAGCGCTCCCAGTCACGGCCATACTTGTTGGCACAGCGGTGTTCGTCACGGAGGCAGCGGTGGGTGAGCAGGATAGTCATGTAGATGATGTAGAAGTAGGGGAGGAGGTGGCCGCCACCACAAGCCAGGCAGTAGGCTAGGCTGCCCATCAGATCCCCAGTATAATTGAAGTGGCGGGCCACACCCCAGAAGCCCGACACCAACAGCTTGCTGTGGTGTTTCTGCCCATCGGCTGACGTGTAGGAGCACTCGATGGCCTTGGGCTTCTTGCCCCAGATGAGGCAGCGTCCATCTGTCCTACGGAACAGGTCCTTCTGATGGTTGGTTATTCGGAAGATATAGTAACCCACCAGGCCGAGCAGCAGGATGCCCACGGCATTGGGAGTGGAGAGATGCACAGGGTGGTACACCAAGTACAGGCCCTGTAGGGAGAGAAGGTAGGAGGAGAGAGATGAAGGGTGGCCCATCATGGAGCGTAGTGGGCAGCAGTGTGGGCTGAGCAGGGCAGACCCTGCCCCTGCCCCAGACACATCACGCCAGTTTCCTTTTCCATTAAGTAAGACACATAGGGCTAGGCATAATGGCACACATCTGTAATCCCAAGACTCAGGGGGATGAGGCAGGAGGGCTGCAAGTTCAAGACCTGCTTGGACAGTTTATTGAAACCTCATCAGACCTCGTTTCAAAATAGGTAAGAGGAGAGGGCAGAAGATAGAGCAGTTGCTTAGCATGCCCAGGGTCCAGGTGCCACTCCAAGGACTGGCAAGCAGAGGGAGAGAGAGGGAGGGCAAGAGAGGGGAGGAAGAAAACAGGTTGAATACACTCAGCCCCTCAACACCCTCCCTGGTTACAGGGTCTACTGCTTTCTGATCACTCGACTGACTGGGTTCCGCAGCTGCTGCATTCTGTGTGCCAATGAAGACAACCGTGTTTACATCATCGCAAGGTCTAAAAACTGTCATTGGATCACCACTGGTTGGAACTGGTAAATCATTCTACTGTACAAAAGTAAACTATACAACACATAAGATAATGTGAATATATCATGGTGACAGCTGATTTTATTTATCAACGTGGATAGACCACAAGTTGTGGGGATGAGACTAACATTTATTTGTGTGTGTGTGTGTGTGTGTGTGTGTGTGTGTGTGTGTGTGTGTGTGTGTGTGTGTGTATGCACCTGAGTACACATGAAGCTATCAGAAGAAAGTGTCTGCTGTCCTCCTCTGTCACGCTCCACCTTCTCCTTTGAGGCTGGGTCTCTCCCTGAACCTGGGGCTCAAGTTTTCTTGGCTAGGCTAGGAGCTGAGAAGGCTCAGTCATCCTTCTGTCTCTGCCCTAGGGTTACAGGCATGCATGGGACTCCCAGTTTGTTCTCTGAGTGCTGAGATCTGAACTCTGGTCCTCCTGATGATGCAGCACACACTCTTAACCCTTGAGGTTATCTCTCCAGCTGAGATTAGCATTTAAATAAGCACTGAGTAAAGCAGATGAACACCCACAATGTGGGTGGACCTCATTTAATACATTAAGACCAACCTCCCTTGGGAAAAGGGGATGCTGCCAGCAGGCAGTCTTTGATTTTGAACTCCAACATCAGCCTTCTCCTGGCTTCCAGGCCCCCACTGAAAGTTTGGGACCTACCAGGCCCCATCATCACCCCAGCTCCTGCTTATTCTGCTCCCTGAGAGACCCCCAAAACAAATACAGAATAAAGAATATACCTGTATACACACATCTCATAGCCATATGGCTGTGCCTCAGAACACAAAGGCCAGGTTCCAGGACACCCCCATGGATACCCAAATCCATGGTGCTCAATCCCTCCATGTGAGACAGGTACATAAACAGATGTGGTGGCTCTCACCCACAATCCCAGCACTCAGGCTGAGGCAGGAGGATAACAGCTGAAGGCCAGCTTCACTTCACAGTGAGTGCCAGCCAGTCAGGGCTGCAAAGTAAGACTACCTCAAAATAACAAAAACAGGGCTGGGGAGATGACTCAGTGGTTACAGAGGACCCATCATCCATGTGGAGCAGCTCGCAACTGCCTAAAACTCCAGCTCCAGGGGTTCTAGTGCCCCACAATAAACAAACAAACAAAAAAAAAAACAAGAGACAGTGTAGTGTTTGTCTATAACCTGTGCACATCCCCCTATAAACCTGAAGTCACCTCTAGATTAAAGAGATGCCTAATTATCTACAATATACTATATAATAGAGATGTTTAATTGCCTATGTGAAGCCCATTAAGATGTAAATGCTGGCCAGGTGGTGGTGACCATGCCTTTAATCTCAGCACTGGGAAGCAGAGACAGGCAGACCTCTGTGAGTTCAAGGCCAACCTGATCTACAAAGTGAGTTCCAGGATACTCAAGACAAGGACAGCAAAGTTCCAGGACAGAGAAACCTTGTCTTGAAGAAAAAAAAAAATGTAAATGCTGAACAAATGATTGTTAGACGACATTTAGGGAATACTGACACAGAAAAAAAAAAACCTCCATATTCATTCAGCACAGTTTCTTGTTTATATTTTGAGATAGTCTCATGTCGCCCAAGCTGACCTTGAACTCTCTATGTAGCTGAGGGTGACTTTGAACTCCTGATCCTCCTACCTCAACCAACCAAGAGCTGGGAGTGTTCAAAAAGACCAGCAAGTTTCTTTTTTAAAAAAAAAAAAAAATACTTCCAATGCATGTCTAGCTTAATCTATGGACCTTTCAGCACAGAAGCCACTGTATCCTAAGGCTGAAACAAGGCCTGCTAGATAGAAAGACTTGTGTAAGTTCGGTCTCTGTCACCAGTTCACACACTGGCACTGTAGATACAATGAGGTGGCCCATGTGCAGGTGCCCAATCAGTGCAAACACCGGTCCATGTGAGCTGCTCATTGTAGTGGGTAGCATTCCAGCTTTGATCTGGAAGTTCCAACCCCTATTGAGGCTTAGGCAACTGTCACGCCTATAAGGCAGGGCCAAGGGAAGCACCAAGAGACCCGAGATCTGGATGGGCCAGCGCGCATTCTCTGGTCCTGGACCCTAGACGGTGGAGGCTGACCAAGCAGAGCTCCAGAGAACACCGCTGGACCTTCCCCAGACCCCGAGACCTACCTATCCCTTCATTTGTAAGTTACCCACTAAATAAATCTTCCTTTTAACTACGTGGAGTGGCCTTAATAATTTCACCAATAGCTGGTGAGGACCTACAGTTAGTGAAAGTCGGGGGCTGACTCCTGTCCAAGTCCTTACTCTCCACCCTCGTCCTTGCTGGGAACTACCGCTTTCCCAGCACCCTTGCACAGGTAGCCAGACCACTTCCACAGCCCACATCACCATCAGCTACGCAAGCAGCTGCCAGAGGCCCACCTCACCGACTCCCACCCGGAGAGGCCAACAACAGCCTCCTGTGCTGCTCTGAGCTCCTTCCAGCCTCTGATGAGTAGGCACACTTCTACCATGGTGCGGACACAGCCGAGAGGTGGGGATTAGGACATACAGCCCCGCTTGAGTCACTGCTGGCCAACCTGGTGGCTCTACCCTGCCTGGTTGAGCTGGGAGTTCTGCCCTGACTACAGGATGACTAGGGACATGCTCATATGGGTGCAATCCCAGGGCTTCCCAGACCAACTACAGGTGGTTAGAGGGATCAGCCTAACATGGTTCAAAAGCCATTCCACACCATCTGCTGCTCAATTTCTGTACAGTTCTCAGCAGCTCTCCAGGCCTTATGTGGGATAACTTTGCCCAGCCACGGCCACAAGGGCAAGGCTGAGCTACAGTTGGTAGGCCGGGGGTGAGTTATATGCACTTTGGGTACTTTCAGTGCCGAGTGGGTGAAGTGGGAACCAAATCCCATGATGGGTCAAGGATATCTGTGATACAAGGAACTTTCCCCTCATGGGAGAAGACACTGGTCCAGTGGGCCCCAGGGGCTAACACCTTAACAAGCTCAGCAGCAGCCGAAGACCACACAGTCAATGCCCACGAGGCTGGTCATCCTGTCCGAGCACCCTGGCTCCTCACCTGCAGTGTGTAGAGGTAGGGCAGCCACACGCAGTCACCCCAGCCCAGGTACCACCCAAAGTGGTCATGGCAGATGTCAATGGTCTTCAGGTACCAGGTTTCATTCCAGAAGAAATCTAACACATAGATGGCCTGCAAGACAGAGCCACCACTGTTACCACCACAGCCCCATGCAAGGGAGGGATGGGGGATGGGCAACTGCGATGTTGTGAAGTAACTTGACTAAGTCACTGTGGGGCTGGGAACAGTCTTCGGGGTGGAGGGGCCACTGTCCATCAGCAGGAGGAGCTCCCAGCTATGGCCCCCACCGGTGACATGAGATGTGGAGCTCAGAGCAGAGGTGACTCAGGATGGAAGGGCTCAGGGACTGTCCCTGGGATGCTGGCCCTGAGGGATAGACAGCAACAAGGACATCCACAGGGTGAGTGTCCCAGCTTTGGCCCCTGTCAGCTGCCCCTCAGAACCATGACACACATAAGGTGTCCAAGAAGACTGAGGTCCACTCACAGAGATGGGCAAGAAGCAAAGACCCTGCTTTGCTTTGTCACTTCTCATCTCGAGGGAACATGAGGCCACAAGCTATGACTATGGCTGGGACACACAGGGAGCCTTCCAGAGACTCCAGGCTCACCACTAAGGTGTGCCAGCCAGTTACATAAGCAACAGCATCAGAGCACCCTGCCCTAGCATGTCCCTTATAAGTGGGGAGTGGCACCTCACACAGGCATGCTGGGATTTGCCTACAACACCCACACATAGTCCCTTGGCTGTGACGGGAAGCTGGCCTGAGGAGCCCAGACCCAGTGCTCTCTGGAAAAGTGGGTCTCTTCTGCATCCATCTCTAGGCCCCAGCACAGAAGGAGCTTCACAGAGGACCACAGAGAAGACTCCTCCCAGAGTCCATGATGCTGGCCGTATCACTTACTCCTCAGGTCCACAGGTGCAAACGACCAGAGCCAGTAGAAGGCAGGGATTTATCCCATCCAGTCTGGGCCTGCCTGAGCTGTGCCCAAGGCCTCCTGCTGGCTTCCTCCTCCTCTGCAATCATTCTCACCTGGCCCCCTGCAGCCCTGCTGGACACACCAGCTCCAGGCCACATCCCAACACCACTGGGCATTTCTTCTCACTACTTCTTTTGTTATTACTGGTTTTTTTTTTTCCTTTTCTTTTGCACATATGTGTATGCAGTACATGTGTGGGGATATATATCTATATCTATATCTATATCTATATCTATATCTATATCTATATCTATATCTCTATATCTATCTATCTCTATATCTCTATCTCTCTCCTATCTATCCTATGTTCCACCCTCCCTAGCTGTAAGCACACTAAGTTACCTGCAGGACATTGACCAAAATCATGGAGTTGGTCACATGGCCATAAAGCTCCTGCTGCTTGGCAGCAAAGGACAGGTTGATAAGGGTCCAGGCCACGATCCCCGGGCGTCCATTGAAGAACAGCTTGAAGTCAAACCACTTTCCAATTCGAGGGTTGAACTCAATGCCCATCATGTAGTTGTAGAAGAAATTGCCTGTGAATTTGCTTAAAAATATCAACAAAAGATACATTAAAATTTTGTTTTAGATTTATTTTTATGTATATGAGTGTTTTACCCTAATGCTTGTCTGGGCATCACATGTATTCAGTGTCCTCAGAGGCCAGAAGAGGGCATGGGATCCCCTGGAACTGGAGTTACAGACAGTTGTGAGCTGCCATGTGAGTGCTGGGAATCAAACCCAGGTCCTCTACAAGAACAGCCAGTGCTCTTAACCACTGGGCCATGTTCCCCATCCTCCAAAGTCACATTTAACCAACTATCACATCTTGCTACACGTGGCTCATCCAGCTTCGTGGACACCAGTGTTCAGGTGCTGGCAAGTAAAGGAGGCAGCAAGGGTGCAGCCATAACCACGAAGTGTCCACGGAGGGGAGAACATGGCAGTCCTTCCCTCTGCCCCACATCCACATTTGTTCTCACTTAGAGCGCACAGTGCACAGCAAAGACACAGAATAAGGATTAAGTGGCAAGTGCCCCGCGCTTACAGCCTAAGCTCCAGGGCCCACATTTCTCCCTGCTCCACTTCAGTGACCACTCATGGTCTTAGTCACCTGGGCCCACAGCAGACTCCTTATTCCAGATTGGGGCAGAGAATTAGCTGAGATAATAACCGGGGTAGAGACCCTTCCTAGGTATAGCCTACTGTGCGTGCACAGGGATTATTGCGAGCTAGGACAGCAGGTTCTCATGTCTACTTCCCACCGTCAGGCTAAGCAGAAAGAACTAAAACATCAATCACATCTGCAAAAGCAGCCACAGCCCTGGAAGCCACAAAAGGCAGCACGGCAGTAACCTGCAAGGCAGGGTAACACAAACCACACAGTATCCTCATCTGAGTGTGGTTCCCCAAGCCAAAACCAACAGCTAAGGATGGGATGTTCTGTTTTCATCCGGATCCCCAGACAAAATTAAGAATTCCAGAAGACCTCACCAAATATCTGCTGATTGGTAGATGGGTGGATGGAGGGACAGATGGATGGATGGATGGATGGATGGACGGACAGACGGATGGATGGGTAGATGGGTAAATATATAGATTGAGTAGATGGATGGGTAAGTAGATGGATGAATGAGTGGATAGGTAGATGGAAGGGTGTATGGGTATATAAGGGGTTAGGGAGATGGATAAATAGAAATATGAGTGAGTGTATGGTGGGTGGATGGATGGATGAATGGATGGGTTGGTGGGTAGGTTGATGAATGGATAGATGGATGGATAAATAGATGGGTATATGGGTGTATAGGTGTATAGAAGGTTAGATAAGTAGTTGTGAGGGTGGATGGATGAGTAAATAGATGGTAAGTGGGTAGATGGACAGATGAGTAAATGGATGGGTAGGCAGATGGGATGGAATGATGGTTGGCCTCTAACCCAAAGTTTCCATGAGAATGCTTCAAGCAAGCAGGGATCTCCTGGGAAGCAGTGATGATAAAAATAACAAGATTCTTTTCCAAGGCTAAGGCTGTTTCACAAGAGATAATCCAAAGATAGAGGCAATGATCTACCTCTGCCTCATCAGAAGCTGTCCTTCTGGTTTAGCTGCTCCCATGGCAGCCTTGGTTGCCTCTCAAGCAAGAAAACCCAGACTCCCAAAAGGCTGATCCTTTTTTGATCACTTCTCAAGGCTTCTCAATTTATCTGCATGGGAGCACACAACCCTGGGTAGAGGTATCCACCATCCTAGGCTTGACCAGTCACTAAGGAACTTACCGGTCTTCAACACTGGTGGGGAACAGGTAGCCCTTGATCATTGCGAATGTGGACACAGCATAGCCCAGAATGTTGGCACACCATAGCAGTGGGATCCAGTTGTCAAAGATGATGGTGGGGGAGAACCAGGATAGGAAGTAAGCGTTCAAAAACCAGAGGAAGTGAGTAATGAGCCAGGCTTGCAGTCCATTCACCTCATACTTGTTTACAATCCCTGCAGGATCAAACAGAGCACTCTCGTTGGATCACACAGCCTGGCTGTGTACCTGCCTCACGTCCTACCTGCTCCTTGGCCTCTGTTGCTTTAGACCCCTGGCTGGAGCCCCCGGGTACCATTCTGGAAGGGGGCATCTTCTGTTGCATACCCAGGCTTTCAAGCCAGTGGCAACCCTCACACAGAGAGAAAGGGGCTGCTCCTACCAAAGCCAGAGCGGGAGACCTCTACAAGTTGCTTTTCATGCTCTTTAGGTCTGTGAGGTGTTAGCAAGGTCAATCCAGTGGCAGGTAAGGCAAGGCCAACCCTGTGTTCTCCCACGCTCCACTTTTGTCTGCCACAGTGTCTCTCTGAGAGCTCTCTGCTAGATAGGCGGAATTCCAACCCACGCCATTAGCGGTATGAAGCTGGGCTCCCTGAGGGTTCTTAGAGATGACCCATGGGTTAGTGGTAGGGCTGGCCTTGCCACACCACTGTAAAGCAGTGGGAGGAGAGGCCAGCAGAATCAAGGACTGCATTCCTGAGTGAGGAAGAAGCCGTGTCTATGATGGCACAGATGTTTCCGGAACCTTGAAGCCTAGTGGACGACATCCAAACTAAATTAGTTCTTATCTGGGACTCAGTGTGGAAGAGCAGCTCTGGGAGCCAGGAATATGAGGTGGCCAGGGAAAGACACCTACCAACTGAGGGGAAAGGTTACCTGCTGGAGTTATGGCACCTTCTTGGACACCTCCCACATAGCCCGGCAGAAATCGGTGGCAGAAGTCAGGAAGCCAGGAATAAAGAAGCACCTGAAATGGAATTTTAGTCGGAAAGATTGGCAGCCTGCAGGGGATAGTTGTACGATTTGACCTGGCCTAATTTCATCAGACAGATATGAACACAAGACACTGAGTTTAGTGCTCCAGGGGCTGGTCTAGCTTCCCAACAAATGTGCAAAAACCTACTCCTGGCCTTGGAACACAAGGGTCAAGTCAAACACATGGGTCCTCCCAACCCCTTTTCAAGGCCATTTATAAACACTGAGGTTCCATCCACACCCTATGAAGCCCACCCTTTCAACATCACCGTTCAAAGTCATGTAATAGGTTCACAAGACCAGGCAACCATCACTACAGCCTGATTTTAAAACACTACCCAAGAGAACCCTGGGAGTGGAGAGAAACAACTTGACCATTAAGAACACTGGCTGCTCGTCCAGAGGGCTTGGATTCAATTCCCAGCACCAGCACCCACATGGCGGCTCACAACAGTCTATAATCTCAGTTCCAGGGGATCCTATGCTGTACTCTTCTGTCCTTCACCGGGTACTGTAAACATACAGTGACATACATACCTGTAAGAAAAACACCTATACATAAAATAAATAAATCTTTTGTTTGTTTGTTTTTTCAGACAGGTTTTCTCTCGGTAGCCCTGGCTGTCCTGGAACTCATTCTGTAGACCAGACTGGCCTCAAACTCAGAGATCTGCCTGTCTCTTCCTCCCGAGTGCTGGGATTAAAGGCATTTGCCACGACCACCCAGGAAAATAAATAAATCTTTAAAAAAAAATGTTTTTGTTTTTTATTTTAAAAAAGGAAGCCCTGTTTCCATTGTCAACTGCTTCTCATCCTTCTGTGCTCCCTGGTAACCACCAATCTTTCCAGCCTGTGGATATGGTCTAGACATTTCACATAAATGCAATCACTCGAACGGGCCTTGGCATCTTCCACCTGGCACCTGTTTCCAATAATGGTCCAAAGAGCAGCCTATACCAGAGCTCATTCCTTCCTACAGTCTAAGAGTATTCCACTCATGAACAGACCACATGTTATTTATCCTGTCCTCAACTGGACGGCGGGGCTGTTGGTAGGGAAAAGGGGCTGGCTAAAGAAACCCACCTAACCCTGGAGCCCAGAACTAAGGAAAGATGGCTCAGATCAGGGCAGAAAGAAACACAGTTAGGTTCAGTCAGATCAGAGCCATCTCTGTCCTAACCAACTGACTTGTGAAACCAACCACTCACAGAGCAGGATAGTAGAACCCTGGGCCCAGGGTTGACTCCACCCCTAAGACTTCCTGTGTAAACCGCCTTGCCTAGTAAGTAAGAAAAAAAGCTGTTCTCTCCACCCTGGTAGAGGCAGCTACTCTCCTGGACTCCTCCTTCCCAAATAAAACTCTTTCTCAAAAGAGTTTTGGGAGCCGGGCGGTGGTGGCGCACGCCTTTAATCCCAGCACTCGGGAGGCAGAGGCAGGCGGATCTTTGTGAGTTCGAGGCCAGCCTGGGCTACCAAGTGAGTTCCAGGACAGGCGCAAAGCTACACAGAGAAACCCTGTCTCGAAAAAACCAAAAAAAAAAAAAAAAAAAAAAAAAAAAAAAAAAAAAAAAAAAAAAAAAAAAAAAGAGTTTTGGGTTTCAAGACCTTCATTCACTGGTGCACAGAAAAACCTTGCTGGGACATCGCATAGTGGATTGAGCAAGGGGGAGCTGAACAGAAGAACCTTGCTAAGACATCCCATAGTGGATTGAGCAAGGGGGAGCTAAACAGAAGAACCTTGCTGAGACATCCCATAGTGGATTGAGCAACGAGGAGCTGAACAGAAGATCCTTGTTGAGACGTTGCTCAGTGAACAGAGCAAGAGAGAGCTGGTAACACTGAGCCAGAGGAGATTGCAGCTCTCCAGAGAGGAGCAGGATTGCTATATCCTGCAGGGAAACCATCACCCATCACACCAGGTATAGCCTGACTTTCCCAAATAGTCAGGATACCCTTCTCTGCTAAAGCAGTTCCAGGCCTGACTCTCCTGAGAAGTCAGAAAAATTTCCCTTCCAGGGCTGGACTGCTTCTTTGCAGTTTCAGCTGTCAGAGCTGTGCTAAACAGCTCCAGGTGTCCGGGACACCTTCAGGGCAGAGCTGTTGTTCTGAGCAGCTTGAGGTGTCCCAGAGACCTCGCCCTCCAGGGTTGAAATGTCTCCTTGCAATTCAGCCATCAGAGCTGTCCTAAGCAGCTCAAGGTGTTGCCTGACTCCCTAGGTAGTCAGGACACCAAACCCACAGAGTTGCAAAAGATGAACCAGTTTACTTACACTGGTTTTTTTGCTTTGACTCACGCTATCCTTCTCACCCAAAGGACCAGGGGAATGAAAGGAGGGGGACCCTGGAGCACAAAAGCTTGGACCCTGGGAGAAACAAGTCTCAATGCAAAGTTCTGCCTGGGGAAATGCAAGTTGATCTGCATCCCATGTGGTTCCCTAACAACTCTGTCCAACATCCCATGTGGTTTGACTCACGCTATCCTTCTCACCCAAAGGACCAGGGGAATGAAAGGAGGGGAACCCTGGAGCACAAAAGCTTGGACCCTGAAAGAAACAAGTCTCAATGCAAAGTTCTGCCTGGGGAAATGCAAGTTGATCTGCATCCCATGTGGTTCCCTAACACACCCTGTCCAACATCCAACCTATGAAGGCTGCTTCTGCCCAGTTCAGGTCAGAGTGGCTGCATCATAAACAAAAACACACTTGACCAGGACCATCTGGAAACCTGTGGGTGGAAGCAGTAGCCTTGGGTTTACCAAGAGTCTACCTAGAACACCCCCTGCCAGGAGCTACTGTGAGAAAGATTCCAGCTACGTGTAGGGTCTCCCTAGGCCAGCCTATGCTCTCCCAGGCAGTTTTGTTCACTGCCTGGTAGGGCATGCTGCTGAGCTACAGCCAGGTGCTAGAAACCATGGAAGATACAGTATGACACACGTATGCTTCCTGCTCTGTGTATCTGCTTTGGAGGTAACTGCTACATCCCGAGAATATGAGCATCACTCTGAGTCAGAAGTCTGCATCTCAGACAAGACCCTGGCAGCACACCATGGTCCCCGTCCACTGCACCCCAGCCCCAAGGCAGAGGACTGACCTGGAAGCTGACCCACAAGGTATACAGTTGGACAGCTTTAGCTGTCACAGGTGGTGTCTTGGCCCAGATGTCTGCCAGATTAGCACGGCCGGTGGCTATGTCCACTACGGGGGTGGTCAGCGAGCAGCTGTACTGGTCACATGCCATGATGAAGTAGTATACAATGAATGGTGCGAAGAGCAGCAAGAAAATGACGCTGGCCAGGGAGAACCAGTCCACTTCCCTGAGAGAAGGACAAAGGGCGGTCAGCATGAGGCCTCCTGTTCTCAAGCCCGAGGAGACTTACAGACTTCCTTCTGTCCTTTGGAGCCCATGACGAGGCTTTCTAAGACACCCTCCCAGCCCTTGACCTCACAGGGGTCTCTGAAATGTCCCTCCTATCCCTTGGGCCCTATAGACTCTGAGATTCCCTTTTGTCCCTCAGACCCCATGGTGGGGTACCTAAGATACCCTTCCATCCCTCTGAGACTCTCTTCTGTCCCTTGAGCCCTCCAATCCCCTTGGGCCACATAGGGGTCTCTATGTGTGGGACTCTCCTTCACACCACTCAGAACCTGGTGGGAAAGAGTATCCGTTCAGCAAACCCTCCAGTCAAGGCAAGTCACTCAGGCTGCTCCTGTGTCATCACCAGAAGGTGTCCTATCTGTGGCCACCAACAAAAAGCCCAGGCATGAGCACAGGGAACTCTTCAGGACCCTGAGGGCCAGGAGTTTCCCCATCCTTAGGCAGGGAGGATACTGAACACATAAGGTTCTCAAGTGCTCAATGGCAGAGAGAGCACCCTGACACCAACACAGGGCCCCTAGGTTGATGGCAGGGCTCCAGATGACCCTTATGCCATCTGAAATACCTGGAATCCTGGCAGGGTAGGGCAGAGGAAAGTCACACACCTGCCCTCGTGTGATAGGTGACAAGGTGCATTCAAAACATAGTCATGGTGAAAATAGCTCAGCAAATTACCTTTAGGCCGTGAGCATGGGGCACGTATGGATCCTTTCCCTAAGAGATCTCAGGATATACACACAGATATCTCAATACCCAAGGGTGTGGGGGGGGGGGCGGGGGAGTCAGACATGAGACTGTTTCCAGCCCCAAGCACTTCAGACAAGGGATAGTCTACCCAAAATGGTTTCAAGGTCTTCTTTCCAATTCTTTATTTTGTAGAACAGGAAACAGCTTAGCTTTCATTTGTCTTTAAAGAAAATTATGATTTTTTTAACATCATTTTTAACATCCCTGAGGCTGAAACCCTTGAGATCCCAGTTCACCCTCCAGCTAGTAAAACACATGAGCCCCTTACCAGGCCCGGCCCCATTGTCCTTGAGATTCAGCCTTGCCATTCGGACTCTTGGTCTTGGGGGCGTTGTGCTGGGATTTTGAAGCCATCAGGTCCTGAGGGAAGAAGAGAAGGCTTCAGATTCTCCCAGAAAGTCAGACCCTACCAGGACTTGAGCGGTGACCAGAACAGATGACGATTTTTACAGCTTCTCAGCAACTGGTCACCCACACCAGATTCTGGGGTGGGGAGCTAGGGGGAGAAGGTGCTTCAGGCACACTGTTGCCAAAATTTTCCATGGTGAGAGGTATTTTGTCACACAATGTGAGAGCTGCGGCAGCAAGTCAGTCCAACAGGGAAGCTTCTGCAGGAAGAGTGGAGCAGAAAGAGCCGGCCCCTCTGTGCACCCAAAGTCTGGCTCCAGGCTCTCTGGGCACTCCCAGCTTACATCTGTAGAATCGATGTAGAGGAAGAGAATTGCCTCTGGCTGGGGAGAGCACTTGCCTGCTCACAAGCCTAAGGACCAGAGGTTGGATCTCCATGACCCACACAAATGCCAGGTAAGCATGGCAGCTCATCTGTAATTCTAGTCTCAGGAAGCAGAGACAGGGTCCCCAGAGCAAGCTGGCTAGCAACACTTCGCTGTATGAGAGCTCCAGGTTTAGGTTTAGTCTTTAGGAAAGATTGCCTCCTACCTCAAGAACAGAGAGCCACTGAGAAACTCCACAAGGACGCGTGTGCACACACACACAAAGTACATACAGAAAAAGAAAAAGGGACAAGGGTGAGATCGACCTCTAAGACGTCTTCGCTCTCTGGCGATGCTGGCCTCAGAACTTGTGCTGCCGGGATATGCCAGCCTGCTTCTGACGGACCACCCCCAGAAGCTGTCACATTGCTTCTTGCCCAGCAGCACACAATGCACATGGCACATTTGCAGTCCCATGCAGCAGACAATGGGGCCCCTATCTCCTCCATCTCTGGTACCTACACTTATGACAATAAACCCAGGGCCACGTGCCCACATGCCTTCCAGGAGGCTCAACAGAGAGCACTGGCATTCTTCTAGCCCTGACTCACAGATAAGACCCAAGGATATAAAGCTTGGCACCAACATTACTTTCTGGTAATTTAACAGGTTGGAAAATTGAAAAAGCCAATGAGGAAAAAACTTCAGACCTCAACACTGAAGACACTAATGAAGGCTGCCCACAGAGTGCACATCTTTCTGTTTTTTGGAGACAGGGTCTTACTGTCTGTAGCCTAGACTGCCCGGAACTCACAGCAATCCCTCTGTCTCAGCCTCAAAGTTGCTGTGATCCACCACACCTAGCAATAACATGCGTCTTCTAGGATGAAAAAAAAACAAAAACAAACAAAAAGCAAGGGCTGACAGATGGTTCGGTAGATAAAGGTGCCTATTGCTGAGGTGGACAGCCCAAGTTCAATACCTGGCACCCAGGTAGAAGAGGGAGAGAACCAACTCTTAAGGTTGTCCTCTGACCTCTGTGCACTATGGCATACCCTGAGCCATGTCAGCAGAGAGCACGTGACTAGTGCTGGGGCTCAGTTGGTAGAGCCTAGCATGCACAAAGCCCCGAGTTCAATCCCCAACACCACATAAACTGGGTGTGGTACTGCACACCTGCAATCCCGGCACACAGGAGATAGAGGCAGGAGGGTTAGGAGTTCAAGGCCGTCCTAAACTACACAGAAAGTTCAAGGCCAGCTTGGTCTACATGAGACTCTGGAAAAAATACGATAGAAAACATTTTCAATTTATCTGGAGGTCATGTATCTGGCCATACTTCAGTCACAGGCACCAAATTCTGTGGGAAAAAAAGTACAGCCTGTGCAGGGCAGCTGGGTAGAGGGGACCAAGGGTAGAGGGGATCCTTTTCCACTCTCAAGGCTCACAGAACAACGGACATGTGACTGGTGCACTGATTTCTTCATTTGGCGGTGACTTTTTTGAGATTTTATTTTTATCTTATGTGTATGGAGATTTTGCCTGCATATATATGTCTGTACACCATTTGTATACAGTACTTCCAGAAGAGAATGCCAGGTCTCCTGGAACTGTAGGGAGTTCGAGACGGTTGTGAGCCACCATATGGGTGCTGGGCATCGAACCCAGGTCCTCTGGGAGAGCAGCCAGTACTCTCTGCCACAGGGCAACCTCTCCAGCCCATTCTTCAGTTTTTAAAACAGTGCCTCACTGCCGCTGCCCACGCTCACAAGCATTGTGAGCAACACATTCACCTTTGACCTCTGGGCCAGAGGTTTCACAACAGAATGGAGTTGTCTTTCTCAGAAGTGGCTTTCAAAATGTCCAGGCTCAGAAGTCCCCCAAGGTCGGCTCAATCCTTGTCCATATACTGAGCCACACTCTGCCAGAGAGGCCACAAAGTTACCCAAGGAGCTGAAATGTCAAGGTCAAAGGCAGATAAGGATCCACACTGCATGTATCAAGGCCACTGCTGATATCAAGCAGGGGACAAGCTCAGGGCTTGTCACTCAACGCTCCACAGTCTATCTGGGGTGACTGAGCCGTGTCAGCAGAGAGCATGGAGGACTGCGCCGCCGTGGGTGGATGGAAAGTTTCAGAGAGGCTCAGAAGTGCTGGACCCAGCACAGGCAAGCCACAGACGTTAAGAGATCCTCCTAGGGTGCTGACAGCTCTACCTGCACATGCAAAACCATTCTGACACTCCCTGGTCCTATCCCTTACCCTGGAGCTGGCACATTCCCATGGAACACACTAGGAAGCCACTGATGCCAAAAACACAGAGGAGCTCAGAAAACAACCTGTACTGGGAACCAGTCTCTATGGGAATGCAAGAGAACTGGGGACCTATTGAGTGTCCCATGGCACATAAGTCTATGTCCCCAAGGATTTGTGTTGGTCATCGATATAAAAGATAGATGAAGAAGGTTCACTGGTGTCCCACTTGTTAAATGAAACCAATGGACCAGGCACAGTGATGCATGTCTTTAATCTCAGCACTTAGGAGGCAGAAGCAGACAAAGCTCTGTGAGTTTGAGGCCAGCCTGGAATACACAGTGAATTCCAGACCAGCAGAGCAACAACAGAAAAGAAAGAAAGAAAAAGAAAGAAAAGAAGGAAGGAACAGGGAGAGAGAGAGAGAGAGAGAGAGAGAGAGAGAGAGAGAGAGAGAGAGAGAGAGAGA